GGTTGAGCATAAATGGCACGGACAATGAAATGGATGATGGGGTTGTGGACGTAAGCACAGCTGGAAGCATAGCTGGAAACATTGCCTCTGATAGTTATGTAGGAGTCCTGTTGTAGAATTCATGTGTTCTGGCAGTCGCATTCGCATTCGCACTGGCAGTCGCAGTGGCAACGTCACTCGCAGTCGCAGTCGCAGTGGCACTGCCAGTATTTGCAGTAGCCATTTCCAAAGCAGCAGCAGCAGCAACAGCAGCAGCAGCAGTAAGAGTAACAGTAACAGTAGTACCAGAAATAGTAGTGGCGGTAGTAGTTCTAGGATTGAAGTCGCGGTTGTAGCGGCTGTAGTGAACGAGGAGTAGTAGTGGGAGCAACAGGAGTATCAGTAGAAACAGGAATAGCAAGAGTAAGACAAAAGAGACACTGCTGTCAACTAGCACATCTTCAAACGAGACGCTGCTCTCAATAACTGTAGTTCCAAACGAGACACTGCTATCGACGGATGTACTTCGAATGACCCACTGCTTTCGATAACTGTATCTCCAAACGATAATCTGCACTCAATAGATGTAGCTCCAAACGAGACACTGCTATCAACGGATGTATCTCGAACGACTCACTGCTTTCGATAACTGTATCTCAAACGACACACGTGCATCAATGAATGTAGTTCCAAAACAGGCACTCCCAGGAGTGGATTTCGGTTGATGTCGCAGTAGTAGAACTAGTAGTAGTTTGGACCGGACTCGTAAGACCTGAGTCTCAACCAGGGTGCTCGGCGAAGCATTTGATGATGATGTGACGATTGACGGCGATGATTGGATGATGGCCGCGCTCCTTCGATGTGTTTTGCATGTGTTTCTCGCGTCTCCAACCAACTCTTAGAAGACAGCTTGCAAACGGAAGAGGAGCACGCTGAGGAGCGGCGTGCGAAGCGGGCAGACGGCCAAACCTGCAGGCTGAGAAGCACCGCAGAAACTCGCAGGCTGAGAAACACCGCGGCCGCGCAGTCCTACTACTGCTGCAACTAGCATTGCAAGACCGCAGGCTGAGAAGCACCGCGGGCGCGCGGGCTTGGATCCATCACCTCTCCTGCTCGTCTTGCAGGAAATCGCGCCAATCCGGCGGCTGCCAAGAATCGATGATGCGCCGGGACCCACCGCCCGTGCTGCCGCCGATGTCCAGGTAGTCCCCTCGCGCGGTACGCAGGCGGCCATGTCCTAGCGCCAGAATCGCCTTGTTTCGGTTGGCAAGCAACTCGCCGCTCTCCCACTTCTGCAGCACGTCCAACTGCCTGCGCGTGACAGCGGGCCCCTCCTGGCCATGGCTCGCAGGCTGAGTAGCACCGCGAAGCTGGACCTCTTGCCGATGGCGGGCGAGCCGGTCACCCTCGTTGTAGCGCGCGATGGCTTCCGCTTTGTCGCGGTGGAGGCGGCGGCGCTGTTCGTGGGAGACTTCGTCACGAGCGGGTGGCTCTGCGGTTCTATCACTGGGCTCGACGTGCAAGGCTTGGCGGAGCATGTCAACGTCGAAGCGGCCGGAGAAGGCCAGCACCTCCCAGATCTGTTTTGTGCCGCAAACGCGTTGCAGATGCCGGCACCAGCGCTTGCGCTTCTGGTCTCTGACGAACTTGGTGAGGCCCCCTTTGCCTGCCCCTTGGGCCTGGCCACCTTTTCCCGCAGGCTGAGGAGCACCGCGAGAACCTTCGGCGCCGCCCGGTCCTTTGCTCGCAGGCTGAGGATCACCGCGAGAACCTTGTGGTGGAGTCTTGTTTCTCGCTTTCCCTTTGTCGGCATCTCGCTCCTGCAGCGCAAGCTGGTGGTCGGACTGCTCGTAGTCTGCTCGAGCGCATTTTACGAGTTCTCCGCGTTCAGCGTCAGTGAGGACGCGGCGCAAGTCGGCGATGTTCTTGGTCCGGAGAAACTCATGGCGAACCCGAAGGACAGAGACAATGGCTCTGGCAGTCTCCGCCTGCGACGCGTACGCGGTGTCATAGTCTGAGCTAGGCTGAGGAGCACCAGCTGGATCTTCGCCCGCATGCTGCGTGGACGTCCTCTTCTTGAACAGCAGAAGGCTCAGGTGGTGAAGGAGTTTCGGGTCGTACTGCTCGTCATACCTCTGGCCCCAAAACTCCTTCATCTCATTGCGCAGGTCCTGCGCGCGCTGGCTAACCTCATCCTCGACGTCGGCCTCCGACGTCGCCGAAAGCGAAGGAGAGGGGCTCGGGGACCGGGACCAGGCGACCCCTTCCTCGGCCCCGGCCTCGGAGTCGTCGACGGCAACAGACAATTCTCCGAAGGCAATCTTCCGTTTCTTTGCCTCCCCAGGCTGAGAAGCACCGGGGGGGGTGAGCACGACCGCAACAGCATCGTGTGAGTCGTTGCGCATGCCACGGTCCAGGTACGACGCGCCAACAGCGACGGGCCGGAAACGCGCGACTGCCCCGCAGACCGCCACGTTGCCCCCCTTGCGGTCTGCCGGGGAGGCGAAGACTTCCCATAACGCCTCGTCGTCAGCTTCGCGCCGGAAAGCTTCGCGAGCCTCCGCGGAGGTCAGGTTGTTGTCGGCGACCACGAGGCGCACGACCGGCGCGTCCGGCTCCGGGGCCTCGAGGCCGTCCAAGTGGAGGCGGAGAAGCCTCACTGCGCGCCTTCGCGCCTGAATGGTGGGAGGGCGGTCGCCGCAAACGATGCGCATATTGCCGGTGACCAGGTGCACTTTGCCATGGCCGCTTGTCTGCACATCGAACCGTGGTATCACAGCGTCCACGTCTCGCCCGATGGGGACGTGGTAGATATCTGAGTCTCCGTGCAAGGACACGACGGCAGGCTGAGAAGCACCGCCGAAGCCCCATAGGCTCAAGTAGTTGTTGACCTCGGAGAAGCGCACGGTGTCGCCGAACGGCTTGGTCAGGATGTCTCCCACGTTGATCGCTGCTTTGCTCAGGCCTTGACGAAACGCACCGACCTCGCACGCAAACAAAAGGTCAGCATCAGCGTCCTCGACGATCGTGGCGCACACCCGCCCGAAGTTGGAGCAGTGAGGCTGAGGCCTACAGTTGGCTCCGAGCATCAAAAATGTTGCCCGGGAATGGAGTTCTGGGAAGTCGAAGAGCACGAAGTGGCCTACAGTTGGCTCCGGGCATCCAAAATGTCGCACGGGAATGGAGATCTGGGAAGTCGAAGAGCACGAAGTGGCTTACAGTTGGCTCCGAGCATCCAAAAGGTGGCCCGGGAATGGAATTCTGGGAAGTCGAAGAGCACGAAGTGGCCTACAGTTGGTTCCGAGCATCCAAAATGTGGCCCGGGAATGGAGTTCTGGGAAGTCGTAGAGCACGAAGTGGCCTACAGTTGGTTTCGGGCATTCAAAATGTGGCCCGGGAATGGAGTTCTGGGAGGTCGAAGAGCACAAAGTGTGCGACTGTTTGCTTAAAACGAGCCCGGCCCTGAGCCCGGCCCTCGCTGTCCGGATGCCGCCCAGATCTCCCTTCTGAGTCATCAGATGCTCTCTTTTGACACCACTAGAAACCTATCAGTCTTCGCTGTTTGGTAAAAGTTGCTCTCGCTTCAGCGCCGCGCACAATCGCTACCAGAATTTGCACGGGCTTCGCGGGTTGAGGTCGGCTTGGTTTCAACATCGAGTTTTCGCTTCAGCGCCGCGCACATTTGTTTTCTACATGTGCACGAGCTTCACGGATTGAGAGCGGCTCGGTTTCGAATTCTAGTTCTCGCTTTAGCGATGCGCGCAATCGTTATAACAACGGTGCACGAGCTTCATGGAGTGAGGGCGGCTCGGTTTGAGGAGAGGAGAGGAGAGGAGAGGAGAGGAGAGGAGAGGAGAGGAGAGGAGAGGAGAGGAGAGAAGAGGCAGGGGAGCGGGCGAGAAAGACGGGACTGCATCGACATGGAGTTTTGCAAGTCCTCGCGGATTGTTTGGATCGGGCACAAGTCCCCCCTCCCCTGGTGCACGGAGCGCGCCAGAGGTGGCGCCAGATGCGCCGCCAGAGGGGCGCCGATCCAAAGAATCCGCGCGGACCTCCGACAGTTTTTGTTTACGGAAAAAGGTTTACGCCATTCCGCCGACCCCCGGAAGAGGAGATGTCCGGTTTCCGACTTCGCGCGCGTCGTGTGCCTGTTTTGTCCGTCGTGCTGCGCGCGTGTAGTTGCTGCTGCCTCGACCTCCTCGTTCTCCGCGCCTGAGGCGGGGTTTAGTGGGGCCTTGGATCCGATAGCTGATGGTTGTGCTGTTTTTGTTTCTTACCAGGGCGGGGGGGGGGGCAGAAAGAGCCCTGCCCCTGCTGCCGCTGCCCGGCCGCAAACGCTTGCCGCGCTGGGGGGGGCGCGCATTGGGGAGGCGATAAAGTGGAGGGCAGCGAGGGTTTCCGAGAAGGTGCCCTGTGCCCGTTGAGGCCCCGAAAGGGACCCTTG